CATTCAAAATGTTTTTGTATCTTATAATTTTTTCCATATTAATAACATTTGGAAGTATCAGTGTTTCCATTGTGGAGAGCTAGACTAGCATTTTAAAATAATGTTGTTATTTAATTTTCACCCATACAGATAGTAGTGCATTTCTAATATAATGTCTTTGAAAATAGTTATTTATTTTATTTTTTCCATACCATAAAAAGGCATGCCATCCCAGTTGGAGATTATGTCCCTCCAAAGTTAATAATCTTTTATGTCTCAAACTAATTCATTCTTTAAAGGCAAATGCAATTTTAGATAGCACAATTAAAATGGTTTTTAAATTAAGGGGAAAACATAAATTTTGCTTTATTCTGAATTGGTTTTATCTTTGAATTCAGTTCTTGCACCACACTTTAATTTAGATGAGATTGTGTATTGGAATTGAAGAACATAAGAAGTAGGGGGCTTCTATTTTAAAAATGAAGGAGAGTTAGATGATAAATGCTAGATATATTATTTCATTGATTTTTTTCCTCTCCTACATGTATATTTTATCTGTCCATTAAGGAGCTCAAGGCAATGTATATGATGTCGGTCTTAGGCATTTTTTTTCTTCTTCACAAAACACTCTTGCAAATCAAGTTTAGCCGACAGATAATAACTGGCCAAATTGTAAGAAGAAAAAAGCCATGTTAACCTATCTTGGAAGAAATCAGGAATCTGGTAGCACCTTTTAGGAATAGGTCCTGCCAGGTTTCTTCTAATAACTTGCCAGATGACTTTCATAGAAGATTTAATGCAACTTCTACATTCTCTATAGGATCTTTGGGGGGAATCTTTGGACACTGTAACCAGCGTCTATGGGCTCAGGCACTTCACTTGCTATAGGCTGAATTTTGAACCATCTGACTTTTTAAAATAACACAAAAAACCCCACACCCATTATTCTCCCAGTTAAAACATTAGGTGGACAATCAGCATGTTACAAAATGAAGCATTTTCCCAACCTTTGGTAGGTTATAGATTTATAAAATTTCAGAACTCTGAGCCAATGGCCTGGGGGATGGGCAACTCTGAAAATTGAAAGCCATTCCTCTTGATACTTCCACATGAGAAACAATGCCATAGACATTTTTAGAAAATAAAAATGATGATCCATATTATAAATATAGGATAGAAAAAGATTATATTGTGGTATGAGGACCAATAGTCAACTGTATGACTAGTGAAGCCAAAATAAGGAAACTGTTTCAGGAGCTTTAAATTCCCCAAAGTAAAACTTTATTGGATACACCATTTTGACACTGAAGAATCAAAATCAGCTTTGGTTTTCCCATGCAAATGCTTTCTTAGTTAAACAATATTCTTCCTTTCTCCCATCCCTGGGTGACATTGTCCAGTTGTGAAATGTTCTTTTGTTCAATTATGAAAAGCATTAATGTTTGAAAGAAGTAAGCTGGTTCAATCTTGACACCAATCTGATCTTGCCTTTTGAAGAAAAAAACTTTGTATCT